TGGCCCCCCCCCCCCCCCCCCAACAGAAAAACTGTATGACTGATGTAATTCCACAGTTCTCAATTTTGAACCTCTGAAATTACATGGAGTGTGAACCAAAATAATTCATTTGAAAATGTTTTATGAAAAGGTCAAAGAGATACCACAATGATTCTTCATTACGATTGCTTATTTTGGGTTCTTGCTCAGGCCTGGAGTTAGAGGGAGGAAACAGCATGAGGTGGGTTTTTTTATCTTTTCTTCCTTACATGTAGCTTTGAATACTGAAAATGCAATCATACATTACTGTGCTCCTGTTAACTGCAAAGGCAGAGTAATAGTTGAGTCACGGGACAACAGCGAACAGTAAAGTGATGTGGCCTAATTAAATGACAGTGTCAGAAATGCTAACGAATACGTACAGGGTAGCCTAAGCTCACCAGCATGTGGTGAAAAAGTGTCCAGAAAAGTATGCACAGTAAGAATGCTAAGGACCTGTAACAGTTGAAAACTGGTACAATGTAGAGCCGTCTATTTTTTCTTTTCAAGCAAATCCATTTTTACATGGAGTAAAAATTCCACATAATTTAGATGTTACTGAAAGGCAACAGGTGAAAAATTCCACTAAAAAGTATTAATGCTGCTGAGAAAAGCACTCATCAAACCTCATGAGAATTCCTGTTCCCCTCTGGACACCAAATTCTTGAAGGGTTCCTTCAGTTTGGACCAACTCCAGAGAACAGCTATGAGGTAACCCAGAGGAATGTAAAGTTTCTTTTATTTCAGGACCCCAAGAGAGCAAGGCATAAGAAATTTGGTAAAATAGCAGTGAGAAAAGGAATTATTGGTCTCCACAAATACCTTGGAGATCAAGAAAAAAAAAACAGTGAGAAAAGAGCTCTGAGAGTTAAAGGATGATTTGGCACGGGGAAAAAAGGTTATAGTCGAATGATTTCTCGCTATAATGAGAGGATTGTATTAAGCATCTTTGTAGTAGGAGGAGTAAAGGCGAGATTCTCTTTTTTACTACGTTTGGCACATGCCTAGCAATGACTGTAGTGGTGTTCACCACAGAGGTACTGGAAGGGCTGCTCTGGTTCATCTTTTTTTTTTTTAATTGTATATGCTCATTTGCTTCTAGTGTTTATAATGTGGAATCACATCTAAAATACACCTATAACTGACAAGCGTATTTCAGGTGCATGCAAGATGCCACAGGGAATAAATACCAGGGGTCAGGTGGCTCAAAGGTATCAACTGTGTGCAAGCTCTGAGCTAGGCCAAATGGAAATAATTTGAGTGACCAGCAAAAAACCAAAAAAACCAAAACCAACCAAACAAAAAAACCCACCAAAAAAAACCCCAGTAAAAAGGTTACAATAACTTGAATGATGTCACATTTCCCAGCAGCTATAAGGGTACACACAAATTATGAGCACTAATGATTCATGGCTACTTTTTCCTCTCACTAATTTGTTCATGTTTCTACTCTGGAG